TCTAAACCGTGTTAGCATTAAGCTTCTCTTTTCTAAACCGTGTTAGCATCAAGCTTCTCTTTTCTAAACCGTGTTAGCATTAAGCTTCTCTTTTCTAAACCGTGTTAGCATTAAGCTTGTCTTTTCTAAACCATGTTAGCATTAAGCTTCTCTTTTCTAAACCGTGTTAGCATTAAGCTTCTCTTTTCTAAACCGTGTTAGCATTAAGCTTCTCTTTTCTAAACCATGTTAGCATTAAGCTTCTCTTTTCTAAACCGTGTTAGAGAAAATCTAACCGTACAAAACACATAAAGTCAAGTCAAGTCAAGTCAAACTTATTTATATAGCACATTTAAAATAACCAAGGTTGCCAAAGTTCTGTACATAAAAAGCATGTATATGTGATTTTAATGTAAAAATAAATAAATAAATAAATAAATAGATAAATAAGATAAATAAAAAAGGTAAAAAGGTGCTCTACCTCAACCTAAGGTTAAAATGTTAAAAGCCATGTCAAATAAATGGGTTTTTAAACAGGACTTAAACTCCTCTATGGTCTGGGCAGCTCTTATGTTAAAAGGCAAGCTATTCCAGAGCTTTGGGGCCACACTAAAGGCTCGATCGCCTTTAGTCCTCAGCCTCGTTTGCGGCTTTTATGGGATCATATGAGTGTCTCATATGAGTGAGAAGGTCAGACAGGTATTTTGGCGCGGGTTAGGGAACATAGTTAGATGAGTGTTTTTTACCTTCAGCTCAAGTCTGGTGGTGTTAGCCTGACATCTGTACGTGGCCAAGAGGAAGTTCCCATTCGGCTGCTGGAAAAAAATTAGAAATTAATTCATTTTTAAAAATTTAATCAGGCCTCTGGGTGTAAAAGCAGATTTGTGGCTTCAGTTCACCTCAGAGTCGCATTCACTGAAACTGACTACGGCCGAGTTTTTATCCACGTCCAGCAGGTCAACGGGGACGTCGCTCTGTAAGAGATAGGGTTGTCACGATACTAAAATGTTCAACTCGATACGATACTCAGGAAAATACTCGATACTCGATACCATTTTCGATACCACAAGGATAAAAACAAAGACCCCAAAATTGAACTGAATTTTGACAGGTTAGTGTCTTTGGTTTCAAACTGACCTGTTACTGATGTTATTGTGACTGGTAGCCCACATTAATGACCCTAACCCTAACCCTAACCCTAACCCTTACCCTAACCCTAACCCTGACCCTCCTCCCTTTATAATTGTGAGAAATAAATATTTTTTTGGTTAAACTTATTTGGACTTATTGTACAAAACTATTTAACATCCACTATTTTAACATAATATGTTTAGAGTTTAATTAAGTGTTTGAAAGATTAATTTCACTATTTTTAAATTAATTTCTATATTGCCATGAAGCAATTATGATTTTCTTGCCTGGGATCTTCCTATTGGTGACGTAATCAAAATGGCCGATTGGATGTGGGCGGAGTTGGATATGTACTTGATTACTGTTGGCGTGTTGTTATTAGCCTTTAGCCGCAGCTAGCAGTTCAAGGCTAACCTGTTGTTAATGATCATAAACAACGTAAATAAATACATAAATAAATCTGAGAGAAGGGTGGTATAGATACTTTGGAAAATGAGTATCGTATCCGGATACAACATTTTAGAATCGATACTTTTTTAACTCATTGACTGGCAGCCATTTTCAGAACAGAGTCCCATACTGCCAGAGTTTTTTGAGCATTTTGACTGATTTTTCAAGAGCCACAGAATAGTTTGTGCTATGACTATGTAAACACCGAACACACCAAAAGAAAGAGTAGACTCTCTTCTTTCATCAGGAAAAA